GATATTCAAAATAAGAGAAAAGAATAGGCTGTAAGCTATAGACCAATAAGCCCAACTTCACTTCCTGAGAAGATTCTAGAAGACACTAAAGAAATCTTTAGTTAACATTTAGAAAAGTAATCAATGATCAAAGGAGCCAGCATCGTTTTAAGAACAAGTCATATGAGACTTTGGGTTCCTGGGTCTCTCTGAAGGGTCCAAGCTCAGTGAAGCAATGTCCAATTACTGTGCTGTGGCTTTCATATACATTATGAGCAACAACAGTAAGAGTCATGTGGGGTCTGAGAATATCTACATCTGGTGGCTCATCTTCTAACAGAGGTTTTTACCCCCCCCCCCACACAGTAAAAGTATATATCTACAATGGACTCAAGAAAAAACTGACAACTGATCAGGAGAAGCCAGATGACATCTACCCTCACAAGCCAGATGACATCTACCCTCACAAATGGTTTATCACAGTATTAAAAATAAATTTTAAAATACAGGATTTGACTGATATAAAATAGTGGTGAAAATAGTGATCAGAAAACAAGGCAATGAAGAAGTGAATATGGTTGCTGAATTTTTCTAGGATGCTGACACAGAAAACAGTCGTGATGTTTTTATGAATATTCTGTGTTTTAGCTATATTTGGTTATTCCTACTATTTTCATCCTTTGAAGAGCAGGGCAAAGAACAGATGGTGAAGAAAAGTGAATTAGTTATATTCCTGGTTGCTAATTGAACAAACAAGCATTTGTACCTATGTGTTGTTAAAATAAAGACTGGTTCAGAATTTAGTAACTATACCTTATAAGAGAAGCTAAGTGGTGTGAGCCAATCTGGGAATCTCATGAATAGGTATGATCTACTTATTTTACCTTAGACAAAGTACCAGTTTTCAAAGAATGGTAACAATGATTCAGCCATCCTACAAAGAATAGTAACAATTATATCAACTTGTCTGGTTATATGTTGCTGTCACGTAGAAGCCTCTGAGTCCCTTCCTCCTGTTTCAAGAATCATAGAAATATAGGATCATAGCTCTATAGGTAGAAAAGACCTCAGAGATCCTCTGTTCTGACCCCTTCATTTTACAGATGAGGAAACTGAAGCCCAGGAAGGTTAAGTAACTTCCCCAACCTCATACAGCTGGTAAGCATCAGAAGTAGAATTTAAATCCAGGTCCTCTTTCCACTGTAGCAGGTTCCCTCCTAACAGAAGTTCAGTACCTGTGCTCAGACTTCCTTCTACCTCAACCCCTGTCCTGCACTTGAGGACTACAATATCCACACTAATGTAGACATAACGTCCCTTTAAATATCCTGGTCCCCCCAATTTGTCACTCTTTAACTCCAATGACCTACCTCCCTTTCACCTTGCCTCAGCTACCCCCAGGAATGGGCACACAACAGATAATATCATCACTTTATGGTATAAGCTTCTGATATTCTTTCTTACCTTTCATCTCTCCCACTGTTTTTCTTCTCCCTAATTTACTCTTCATCCTTATCTCCACGTTTAGTCCCAACACCATCTCCACACTTTCTCTCTTCTCATCCTTACTCTAGGCTCACTTTCCTGGCATCATAGTTTGGACAAGTTAAATTATGCATTATCCTCTACCCTTTAATCCCTTGCTCTTCTGTTCTTCCACAATTCACACCAGCCCATCCTCAACCCTAAGTCACCCTACCATTGCCACCACCACTACTACTACTACTACCACCTCTACCACTTGCCTTCTCTGCTCTTACTTCTTGGGCTGCTGATACTGCTAGAGAAGTAGTCAAACAACCATAATGACTGAATCCAATACAAATTAATGCAGTATCCAATATTACTAGACTCTTGCTAGTATAGGCCAATCCTTTTACTCTTCCTTGAATCATTTTCTCCCTACAGTGACTTCTGAATCTTGTCCCTTTCCTCAAGCCCCTTCTCTTCTCCTTGCCAACACTTACCCCTCTACATGTCCTTGATTTCATCCCCTGCAAGAAATCTTCCCTTTTGATCATTCCTTCATCACAAATCATTCCTTAACTAACTGGCTCATTCCCCAATGCCTAAAAACACTCTCAAGCTTTATTCATCCTTAATGAAGTTTCACTTGCCCATTTCTTCTATTCACTTTATTGTTCCATATCCTTCCACATTCACTCACTGCCAGATCCTAGAAAGAGGTGTCTATACTCAATGCCTCCACTTCCTTACTTCTCAACCCCTGGCTTTTGAACCCTCCACTATATTAAAATTGCACTCTCAAAAGTTTTTAATGATCTCAACTACCAAATCCAATGGCATTTTCTCAGTCTTTGTCCTTTTAGAGTACTCTGCCACATCTGACACTAACAACTAGCCCTTCCTCTCTCAATGTTCTCTCCTCCCCTAGTTTTCATAATGGTTCATATGATCATAAATACACAGTTGGAAAAGACGTTACAGATAAAGAGTCCAACTCCCCTCATTTTATGGATGAGGAACCTGAGGCCCAAAAGGAGGTGAAGTGACTTGCCCTGGGTTGTTGTTGTTTGTCATTCATTTTCAAAGAGGACCAATGACATCACAGGTGATGTCTAGACTTGCTCGTGTATTGAATTTAATAAGCAAGGCAGAGTTGCACCAAGTTGTCGACTTCATTATTGCTTCTAAGCCATCTAAGTCTAGTGGTAAGACAAAAGTCAAGAAGACTGGCGATGGCCCAGGATGTAGTGGATGATCTTGTTGTCTTCGATGTCTGATGAAGCTCTAAGCACTCCACAATGCCTGTTTCAGCCACCTTCATGGTTGTTGGAACAAATTGCTCTCATCTTCCCATTCTGACAGGGGACGTCTTCACAGGCTTGGGATAGACACCCCTCTAATTCACCTACAGGTTTGAAGCCCATCAGTTCTCCTCAATCTGGTTTTCCCCGTCTACCAAGACAGTTTACTGGGGTGTGACCACTGTGCATGTTACAGCTTCTTGAAGCCACAGGTGAGAGTTGAGTGCCAGGTGGATGAGCAGCCCTGGAAAGGGCTCAGCAAGCCCTCATACCAGAAGTGCTAGTCCCCTTTAAACAACCCATACACCCCTGGATTACACAGGCAGTAAAAAGCAAAATCACACCTCAACCCAAATCCAGTGTTCTTTCTACTACACCACACTTATCCCTTCTCTTAATGAGATAATACTTACAAAGCACCTATCAAATGCTTGGAACATAGTAGGCATTCCTCCCCCTCTTTCTAAATCTGTTCTTTCTCAGTCTTCTTTGCTGGATCATCACAAATCTTTCACCCCCTATTCACAGATGTGAATCCCAAGATCTGTCCTAGGCTCTTTTTTCTTTTTTAACTCTCTCCTCTTTGGTTATCTTATCAACTCCCATGGGTTAATAGTCATCTCTATGCAGGCTCTCAGGAACTCTAGTACCACAATTCCAACTGCTTCCTGGACACCTCCACCTAGATATCATATTCTATCGATATCTCAAACTAAATCTGAACAAAACCAAACTCATCATATTCCTCCTTAAGCCTGCCCTTCTTCCAAACTTCCTAATTCCACAGACAGCATCACCGGTTTCCCAATTACTCAGGTTAATAATACCAGAGTTAACTTTAACTCCTCTCTTTTCCACCCAACATCACCTCTCCCCTAGCCAACCAGCTGCTAAGTCCCATTCCTTCTTTTGCCTTCTTCTCCATTGCTACCACCCTAGTTTGGGGCCTCATCTCCTCTGGCCAGAACTATTATTGTCTCCAATTTCTCCCCATCACCAATCTTCCCTTCACAAAGCAGCAGTTCCTCATTGCCTATTAGATAAAATACAACCCCATTAGCACCAACCTATACTTATTTCATTTTATTCCAGACAAATAGGAATACTAAGTGTTCTCTCTACTTGATATTCTATCTCCTGTCTTCATGTAGTCACACAAGCTGTGGTGCATGTTTAGAAATATACCTTTCCCTTCACCTCTGCCTTTCAAAATCCTTTCTTCCCTTGAGGTCCAGCTCAAGTGCTATCTCATCTACAAAACCTTCTCATATCCTCAATATCACCCCCCACTCCCAATCATTAGCATCTTCTCTCTCAAGTTACCTTGTATTAACTTATCTGTGCATAGGTTGTACTTCTCCAACTCTAACCCTAGTAAAATATAAGCCCCTTAAGGGCAGACTTTTTTCTTCCTAGTCTAGAAGGTAATGTTTGTTGAATTCAGCTGAATTATTAATAGTCAACAAGATGGAATTAATCTACTGTTGCCAAGTAAAAAAATGTATGAGTTTATAACTAATTTTCTGAGCCACTGATTCCTCAAAAACGTCAAATGTAAAGAGAGAAACCTGTGCAACTCCAAAGCAAGTGCCTCATGGGAAGGAGCTCTCAAATACAAAAACAATTAACACTCTTAACAAGGCCACTCTATTCAAGACAATCCTCATTTTCCAAAACCAGTTAGAACTGGGCTCTGAAAAGAACCCTAGTTAGGAACTTAAATTGTTTAGCTATAAATGGCTTTCAAAATTAATTTTAAAAATATAGTTAAAATTTGGCAAATACTAACATATTCATAGTATAACACAAACCCGTTTTCTTTATCTTTTCAATGGAAATATTGGTTACGGAAAAGCCATTTATCATATTTAGCAAAAAATTTGAGCCTAGAAGAAGCACTTTTTAAAGAGTTAAATTTGAAATTTAACTGAGATGTCATCCTTTACTCATCTCACTAATCCTGAGCATCTAAAACATCTTTAAATGTTTACTCTGTTTTATAAACTATAAATATCTCTCTCTTAAGCAGGGAAGAGGCTGTGCAACCTTGATTATTTCCTTGGTCTGTATGCTTAGGTTAGACCTTTTATACTTTCATAATCCTCTGGATTTATTCCTAGTAAATTGAATCCTACTAATCACAAATGACCCCTCCAGATTCCAAAATATGCATGCTCCATTAAGGAACTTTCTTTCCTAAGTGAATCTTGAGATCCCCAACTGGCAAACCCTCTGTCCAACATAAATGCTTACCTGTGGGGTCATAGTGGAAGGATCTGGTTGAGGGGCTGGTTGCTCAGCACTTGTGTTCTTGGCACCACTCTCCAACGGCTCTTGCTGGGCAGTTGTACTGGTACCAGAAGGGCTGGGTTGTGGTGGAGCCAGTTGTGATTTGGAATGGGACTGAGAGGAGTGGGAAGGAGATGACTGGGACTGGGGCAAATAAGGCTGGGAATGGGGCAAGTAAGACTGAGAGGAGCTGGAATAGGAAGAGGTGGACTGGGAAGGTGCAATGTAGGATTGGGAAGGTGGGGACTGGGAAGGGGATGGTTGAGCTGGTGGCAGGTAGGATTGGGATGAAGACTGAGGGAAATAAGAGGGCGGAGGCTGACTGGGGGTCATGTAAGTCTGGGATGGGGGTATGTAGGAACCGGGGGGCACTGGGGGAGACTCGGGAGGCGAATCCAGCTCCATGGGTACTGGGCCAGGGGGCCCGTCTCGGTGCTGCTGCTGGAGCATCTGGTGCTTGTACTGCTGCTGCTTCTGATAGCTTAGGACCGGCCCCGGCGGCGGGGGCATCGGCGGAGGCGGCGGCTGCCAGTCCCCGTAGCCCCCGCCGGGCATGACCGGAGGGGGCGGCAGGGGCGGCGGGGGGAGGTGATGGGGCTGGAGGACGCACTGCATCTGCTTCTGGTGCATCTGCTGCAGCTGCTGGAGCTGCGCCAAGTGCTGCTCGCGGAAGCTCAAGAAGCCCGAGGAGGCAGGGGCCGCCGGCGCCGCCGCGCTCGAGTAGCCGCCGGGCCCCGGGGAGGCCTCGGGGAGCCCCACGGGCGGGGGCGGCGGAGGCACCGGGGGCGGCGGGTAATGGCTGGCTCCGCCATACCGGCCCCAAGTCGGGTACATGTCGGAGGAGGGGGTAGAGAGACCCCCGGCGCCGTTACTCGTCGCAACCGACCCAGAGGTCTGCAGCCGCCGCGACAGCCGGAACTCGCGGCGTCTCCAGGCCCCGGAGCGTGTAAACGGATCGCGCAATTGCGCAGGCGCCCAACGCCTTCGCCAGCGACTGCAGAGGCGAAGGCAGGGGCGGGGTCTAGCCCAACGCGCTTGCGCAGTAACCATTGAGAGGAGAACAAAGGCAAGGTAGAGCGGCCCTGTCTTATGTTGACTCTTGGCTGCCATCTTTCTTCAGGCCCGGAAATTGTCTCCGGCTGTGGAACGTTGCCATAGAATCACATGCTACCATGCTAACCTGGAAGATGTGGTCCGTGTCACAACATCAAAGGTCAAAAATTGGAAGGGACCTTGGACAATCTACTCCTCTCATTTTACAGATGAGGAAACTGAGACCCAAATGTCCAGGGATCCCCTATGTAGCAATACCCTAGCCTGGCATTCAAGCTTCTCCACAATCTGACTCCAGCTGCCTTTCCAACCTCATCTCCCACAACTGATCTACTGAAAATTAGAATGAGAGATTTAGAATTGAAAAGAAATCAGTCTTCTAGACCACCCATTTCCATTTTTTTTTTTAACAGATGGGTAAAGGAAAATCCGAATGTGAATGGCTCCTCATGTTCTACAGCAGGAATTCTTAACCTGGGGTCTTTTAAAAAAGAATTGACAACTGTATTTCAACACAATTGGTTTCCTATGTACTTTTATTTCATGCATTTAAAAACATAATTCTGAGAAGGGGCTTTACCACATTACCAAAGGAGTTCAGGAGGAAAAAAAAAATGGTTTAAGAAGCAAGGTCTGCTTAGGGACTTCACAAGGGAACACAGAAGCAAAGTGGTATTGATACTGCTAGGTTAAGTATACACTTTTTAAAAATTAAGGGGGCAGCTAAGTGGTGAAGTGGATGGAACACTGGCCCTGGAGTCAGGAGGACCTGAGTTAAAATGTGGCCTCAGACACTTGACACTAGCTGTGTGACCCTAGGCAAGTCACTTAACCCCAGTTGCCTCACCAAAAAAAAAAAAAAATTAAGGTATGTGTTATAGAGTTTCACAGTGTCACATACAACCTTTTTTCTGTTTGTTTTTGTTTCTATGTGGAAATGTTTATGCTTGTTGGTACTTGCCAAGGTTATAATTTTGAAAAAAAAAATTTTTTTAAAAGGAGAAGCTCCCGGGGCAGCTAGATGGCACAGTGGGTAGAGCACCAGCGTGTGACCCTGGGCAAGTCACTTAGCCCCAATTGCCTATTGGAGTTATATTGCTTATATTGGCATCACAAATAACCCAGATTCACTAGGAATATCACCCACCCACCCAGTATCATGATAAACTTGCTACTTGGACTGAAATAAGGCTTGAGTGGTGGAATTCTTTCAAGGCAGACTCTCGCTCTGTACCCTTGCATTTCAGGGTTCCTAGCACCCCTAGACCACAACATTAGGGAAGGTTTCTGGGCCTGAAGAAAGAAGAAGAAGAAGAAGCTCTGCTTTACAGAGTCAGCAGCATCTTCTCTACAGTTTAAATTCCTTAGGTTGGCATTAAATGTTCTCTGCAATATGATTTAACCTATCTTTCCCATCTTATTTCCTACAGCTGCCCTAAAAATCCCCACCCCACCCAACCTGAATTCTTTACAATCCTCCCTGTTTCTTCAACTGTAAAATAAATGAGGCAATTGGACTAAAGAACAAGGACTCCAAAGTCTTTTCCATCCCTAAATCCTTTCATTCCTTCCCATGCCATGCTCATTCCCACTTTTCTATATTCGCTTGCACTGATCCCTTGGCCTGGAATACCACCATGTTTCTCATCTAAATCGTCCCCATCTATAAAGGCCCTGTGAATATTCCACCTGCTTCAGGAAGTTTTTTTTGACAATGTGAAGCCACATTATTCTCCTTTTTTTCTCTGAATTCCTATAGCACTTATGGCATGAACTATGGCATCATAAACCATCTCTCTGAGAAAATGGGTTACCAGAGGAATACATGTGCTTGGGATTTGGCAACAGGGAGGTCAAGATGTATACAGCTGAGATTTGCCCCATCTTCCTCGCACTACAGTATCTAGAGATGATGTTACCTGGTACAGCTAGGCCAGACCCCAAATCAATCAATCAATCATCAGTCAATAAGAATTTAGTAAGCAATTGCTATGTACTTACTAGGGATAAAAAACAAAAATGAAAGTCTCTGCCCCTCTGGAGCTTACAGTCTATCTGGGAAACATCCCCTAATATAAATAAATTCAAAATATATATAAAGAAAATATGAAATTATTTTTGAGGGGATACTGGTAACTTGGGGGGATCAAGAAAGGACTCATATATGAAGTGGCGCTTGAGCTAAGTTTTGAAGGGAACTAGAGATTCTAAGAGGCAGAAGTGATAGCAAAGGCATAGAGACTAGAAATAGATTGTTCTATATAAGAAATAGCAAGTACATCTTTAGACATATCAAACTGGATGTCCAGTAGACATCTTAAATTAAAGTCCAAAACTGAATTCATCTTTCCCCTTAAACCTTCCCTACTGTTATGGTCTAGGGGTTCTAGGAACCCTGAAATGCAAGGGTACAGAGCGAGAGTCTTCCTTGAAAGAATTCCACCACTCAAGCCTTCTTTCAGTCAAAGTAGCAAATTGATTATGATACTGGGTGGGTAGGTGAGATTCCTAGTGAATCTGAGGTATTTGTGATGCCAGTATAAGCAGGCTAAATTCTTAAGGAATCTTCACATTTGATGAGGATGGGACTGATATGTTTAACCAGAAAGACTGTGGTAAGTTCTGGATGGGCTTAAGGAGTGTCAAGTAAGCTAATTAAGTAATCAGGGTGGGCCAGATGCCTTGGCAGAGCCACCAGTGATCTAGGCTACTGAAATGTATGGGAAAATTCAGGGACTGGGCTGTTTTTAAAGACATGGTGTTTTCCTTTTAGGGGTTCAGATCTCATCCCCATCACCTACCTCCTACCTTCCCTGAGGGACTGAGAAGATGGTATTACCCTTTGCAGTAACAGGGAAAGTAGGAGGTAGGGAGGGTTTTTAGTGAAAGATGAATTCAATTTTGGACATGTTGAATTTAAATGTCTACTGGACATCCAGTTTGATATGTCTGAAGATGTACTTGCTATTTCTTACATAGAACAAACTATTTCCAGAGATGGTAGAGACTGAATCAAAGACACTAGTTTGGAGACTTTTACAATAGTCCAGGCTAGTGGTTATGAGAACTTAAACTAGGATGATGACTGTATGATTATAGAAAAGGGGATAGATTCAGAGACATGCAAATAGAATTGACACCCAATCCACAGGAACAGATAGAGAGACCAAGGCCCAGCATCTTTGGTCTTTTGCCCTAAAACACCATCCTGTAGAGACTATGACTATTACATTTCAATTGGAACCCACCACTACCCCTATGGCTAGCAAGCTCGAACTACCTGTTACTCTCCCTTGGCTACCTGTTGTGGTTGTTCAGTTGTATCCAACTCTTCGTGACCCTTTTTAGGGTTTTCTTGGCAAAGATACTCCGGCTCATTTGACAGATGAGGAAACTGGGTTAAGTGTTATGTTTAAGTGACTTGCCCCTTGCCCAAGGTCACACAGATATTGAGAGTCTGAATCCACATTTGAACTCAGGAAGATGACTCTTCCTGGCTCCAGGCCAAGCACTCTATCTACTGCACCACCTAGCTACCCCTCTTGGCTACCTAAGTGAACAATCTCCAGTCCTCACTTCTCATTCCTTTATCTCTATCCCCAATTTGTGTCCCATTCCAGCTCTGCTCACCCTTTGCCCTATACCTTCTGGAGGTCCTTTTCCAAAAAGGAGCAAATTTACTTTTCATTCTGGATCTCTTCCTTTCATACTTCTTCCATGTACTTGCTGTCACTGAAATCTGGCTTCCTCTGGATGACCCTGTGTCCCTGACATTCTCTCCACCCCTGGTTGTGTGTTCATTCATATTCTCCACCCTCCCCCATCCAAAATGGTCCTAGAGGAGACCATTACTCCCCAGGGACACTTCCAGACACACTCTTTATTGCCATAACTCAGCAACCTCCCCTCCTTTGAAATTCATTCTATTTAAATTTATCACTGGATGTAGATCATGGTGGCTGTCAATCTACCCACCCCCAGGTCATCTTCCTTCTTCTTCTTTCCTTCCTTCCTTGTCTTTCTTTCTTTTCTTTTTTCCTGAAACTTGGTTCTCCCTATCTGGCCAAAGCTGAAAGTACAGTGGTGATTCACAGGCATAATTCTGCTATTGACCAGCACAGAAGATTTAACCTGTGAATAGGCAGAGATGTCTATAATTCCACTTTCCCAGGCATAGCTGCTTTAATACAATAGTGATATGTTAAGGCTTATAATGGCACCTGATTCTAGTTAGAGCCAGCTTCTGAACTCCTCACAAGCTTACTGATGCAGCACAATTCTAATTTCACCTTCTTCATCCTGAGTAAGCCTTCCTGGTTAATCTTTAGAAACCTCACTCATATTCCCTAACCTCACCACCCCACCAGTGAGGTGACGGCTGTCATGGCAAGTCTTTTGTAGGAATATCCTATGTAAAGCTGGGCCCCTAGTGGCTCTGCCTCTTCAGCTGGAGTTCATATCCAAGTGCCAATCTGGACCACCAACCTGCATGCAACTACCCTGTGGGACTCATTTGGCTGTGAAGGCTCTGTCTGTAGTCTATGGGCTGGCAGTGGGCTGATTTTTAAAAATTCTTTTAGTTTCTAAATTGTAAAAATTGTTTTAATTTTTAAGTCAGGAGGCCATTTGCAGATCTATACTAACTAAATTGCTGTACGTCTATTCATAACCTCTTATGCTGTGCTTGGACGTGAGTATCATTAAACCATTTTAGCACATACTAGTGTTGCTATATGCTATTCATCCAAATTCCACTCTGAATTTGTATGAAAACCTACTCCATTTCTGACCTGGATCAGTTTGCCTCTCCTTAGGCCCATCAATCAATAAACATTTATTCAACACATCTATATGCTAGGCATTCTGCTAAGTACTG